AAGGTTCAGTCCAATTCACACAACTAAGCAAATACGCCTCCTCTGTTAAGCATTGGCATCAGTGGACAGCATAACGAGATCTTTCTTTAGGCGTTTGAAAGGTAAAATCTGAGTGACACTTTATGGTTAAATAAATCTGAAGTTGAATGAGATTTTCACCTCTACAACCGTTTACACATTTTTGTTTACACAAGAATCATCAAAAGTCAATGAAACATCTACAAAGTTCGCACATATCGACCAACAACAGCACTGCAAAATGACTTCCACTGAACTTGTCATGATCGTTAATCTACGCACTTGACCTGTGCTTTATAAAGCAATCGACAATCAAAGTTATTGTCAATTCAAGTGTGTAAATGCAGCTGGCTTCAGTGTGGCTACCTCTCAGCCTCCTCTTCCTACACCACACTTGGGGCAAAGTAGACGACCATCAAACAACAGTGTATCATCCCGGCACACTAACCAAGGTGACAATTGAGACAATTCCGCAATCAAAGGTCTTCAAGAATGGAGAACGATGTGAATGCAAGTCTCGTCGTATGAAAAGATTTAGTGATCACTATGTGGGAGACGAGTGTGGCTGTGATACGACGCCCAAAAGACGGGTTTACACACGAGCCGAGGAGTTGGAGGACGAAATTGCACGACGTGAAGATGAAGAGGAGATAGAACACCTTGAGGCAGAAATTGAGGCAAGAGAGAGGAGAGAGGATAAAAAGGCAAAGCGGATGAGGAACATCAATCGGATACAAATTCAACTTAAGTAGATCCATTTATTTCAATTGCGTTTGTTCCCGTAATTATTCAGTTATAATTATCAATAAAGAGATGGTGGATTCGCTTTAAGGTCCTGAGCCTTTTGAACTTAAGCGCGAGTTTTAAATCAACACTGAAAAGCAGACTAGATTCATTTTAAAGATAGGGACAGCCAGTATCGTGTAAATGAACGATTCGGTGCCAAATGAATGCTGAATGGACCTATTGCGTGATGCCGTCAGTTGCTATTAAATGCTAGATAAATCGGTTGATTGCAATGGCAAAAAAAGTGTTGCTTAGTAATGTATGACAGACATAGAAAGGCGGGGTTGGTGCACCTACCTCAAATGTCACACTATCAATGCCCATTTTAAGGTGTAAGCCAGGCAGACAGCATGACAAAACATTTAGTACCAATCTCGAAAGATTGATCCTCCTCCTCCTCCTCCTCCTCCTCCTATTGTGCTGTGGAA